TTACAAATAAGGAATCCTACTTCGCGGAATTTCATTTATCACGGTAGGGTCTAGAACCGATTAACCGCGATAAACGAGGGTTCACTGTATTTCAAAGAACTCAGAAACAAAAGCTCTGAGTATTAAATCTTAATGTGTCGGTTGTCAAAACCTAAAATCCCATGTTTTCCCCTCACTCTGCTACTGGGCCTCTAGGCCATTGAGATGTGCCTTTTCCAATGAGGCCGTGGCGCGGGAGACGAGCTGTACATGTCTGCTGGCGAGCCCAGGCCACTGTTTCACCTTCCACTCTAAGAGCGTCTGCTTGCTTGTCTTCCTTCGTCACGGCCTTTAGCTCCGCACTCTAGCAAAGAAGAGGAAAGCCCGCCGCAAGATGGATCGACACGGGGGCTGCAACCACGGGTTCAAGCAAGACGACAGTTGTGAGGATGGTGTGGCCCTCTGCCACGTGGCTCTGAGCTGGCACCAATTCGACAGCACCAACCATATTCTCTGAGCTGGGAAGAAGACAGTCTCTGCTTCTCTTCCTTCTTGCAACAGGCTGGACCCCTTAGGGGAGATTTGCTGACAAGGTGACAGTGATGAAAACTACCACCCCTCACCCCCACCGCATGTGAAGCCTCTCATCATTGAATTCCTGCTTTAGCAGCGCACAGATAGCCTACCGAACTGAGAATGAACAGCTTTTGCAAGTGGGTGGTAACATCACTGCTCCATCGACACCCGGGGCCAGGGGCTGGGAAGCACACTAGCACATTCAGTCTCCACTGTCATACTGAGTGGGGCATTACGACTCCTGGTTTTCCAACATGGAAGCTGAGTTGTGTGCAGGCTCTGTAACTTGTCCAACATCCCAAGTGCTGTGTAAGGTCTCTCTGGCTCCAGAGCCCTTCCGAACACGGGAGGGGACCAAGCAGGCCTTCCTCTCCTCCACGAGCAGTGCGTTTTCCTGCCCTACAGTGGCTCCTGTCACCACCCTGGACTGCTGTCCCAGCTGAAGGTCTGTTTATCTTGTAATGTGAGCAACAGCCACTGTTTATTTTTGACTTTGTGCCGACATTTACGCATGTTATTTAGCCTTCACGGGAACCTCACAAAGTCAGGCGACTTTATTTAATCTTCAGGGGAACTCTGAGAAGTGGTGACACTCTTCCTTAGTGTGCTGATGACGAAACAGGCCCAGAGAGTTTAAGTTCTTGGCTGAGGTCCCACAGTGCATCACTGGCAGAGCCGGGGTCCTAATGCAACACTGTCCGACTCAAACATCTGGGCGCTTAACTGCTGGGCTCTATCATCTTCCCTCTTGCTTTTTCAACCTCGCTCAAATTCCACTTTCTAGTCAAGTGTCTCTGGTCATCCCAACAGGAAGTGCTGTGGGCAGCTGCTCCTTTGCGCACCAAGCATTTTCGCTCTCCGGTGGCTAATTTCCAGAAGTGGGCAGCCAAGGCCTTCTTCACGGTCTGTCCGTAGTCTGGAAGCTCTGCTGAAAACTCTTCACCTTGGGTGACCCCGCTGGTATGTGAACTCCCAGGGACATCGCTTCCAGCACCACAGCCACGCACAAGCCACCACAGTACGACAGACTAACAGACAGGCCCCACGGACTGCCAAGGAACAAACCCATGGGTCTGGGAAGAGGTACAGTCTGAATGCTCCTGAGGCCAGGAGGGGGAGACGTTGTCTCACACACTTTGGTCATGTCGTCAGGAGAGAGCGGTCCCTGGAGAAGCACTACATGCTTGGTAAAGCAGAGGGGCAGTGAAAGAAAGGGTGGCCCGGGACAAGACGGATGACCACTGTGGCTGCCACAGTGGACTCCACATAACAACTGTGAGGACAGTGCAGGGCGGGTGTTTCATTCTGTGACGCACGGGTCGTTGTGAGTCGGAACGGATTGGACGGTGTCTAATGACAACAAAAGCAGGGTTGCATCCTCTTCTACTGTGTTCTATGGTGCTTTGGGCGGCCGGAGGCTCCGTGCCATCTTGGTGTTTCCTACACTCTAGGACAATGCCTAGAACTCAATGATGAACCCGTACAAAGTGGGTTGAGTGAAATGGACAGTGTATACTTGATGTGGTAGAATTGAGTTATATTTATATTCTAAATATGGTGTGAGATAGAGTGGTTAAAAAAGAAAAAGAAGAGAGATCACCAAATAGGCTACAGTTATTATCACAATGACTAGGGACCAACGGGATATCAGCTTAGTATTTTCAGAGCCCAGCATTTATGTTTCAAGATGATAATGCCTTTTAGGATATTCCTTAAAACTAAGCTATCGACTGTTTAGAGCGGCATGCACAAGTCCATCCGCACCCACTGTGTGTACAGTCCACATTAACTTTTTACAAACCCCACTGTCACTTGCCATGTAAAAGGTGACCATCCTATTTCTGGAAGGGCTGTCCCAGAAGTTAAGGTAGCAGAAGATGTACACAGCCCCGATGAGCAGGTTGAACAGCCTCCAGTGGCAGGTGCTGTCGATGATGTCACTCTGCTGTGCCACCAGCCAGAACGTCATCACCAGCCAGTGGGCACCTGGGAAGAGGCCAGGGGAAGTCAGAGACCCAGCGAGGGTACATCCAGCAAGGACACAGGCACCGAGCTTACCACACTGACATGCCCCTCTCTGCTCTGAGCCCTGACCCAGAAGATAGACTGAGGCCAGGAGAGGGCCCAAGTAAACCCACAGGCTGAGTTTCACAATACAAGCGGGAAGCGGGGTGGAGGCGTGCGGGTATGTTCATAAAGTCTGTGGGAAATGGCATTGATTATAGGAACAAGGGATTTTCCTGTGAGCTTTTGAAGCCCCCTCACCAATGTTCTCATTTGGTCCTCTAAAGTATCTTCTGAATGTAGCTGAGAAACCAAAGACTCATTTCCATCACACGCACCAACGACCATCTACGCATCCCTGCTCGGATCCAAAGAGTGCTGCAGGAGCACTTCCATCCTCACGGTGGGAGCTAACACTCTCCATACTGGAAGACGCGAACTCTCTGTGGCCCAGCCACCGTTTTCAGTCCTACATTTTAGATGGATCATACCCTACTGGAGTGCGAGTTGAATTTTTAAAAACTTGACAGCAAAATTTTGCTTCAGGAGCACTCTCTCAAAACCTCGGCATTTCTGTCAATAAATGCATTAACACTGGCGCTAGGCCTACGCGATTCTTATTTTCAACTTCCTGTTCGCTTTAAAGCAGGCGCACACTGTTCCTTCTGTGGCATGCACTCACTGGTGACCCCAGAGGCCCTGGTTGGCAAGGGCACACAGGCCCTATTCAGTTGTCCGGCAGAGTCAGCACGTCTGTGCTCTGTCAGGCGGAGGGCAGCGGAAGGGTTTGGTTCCATGCAGCTGTTCTCCTAGAATCAGAGGAGATGTCTCTGACTCAGCATCTACGTGAAGTGGCAGCCCGGTGGGGACTTCGAGCGCTCTCACAGATCTATTGTATATATTTGCACTGGGTCACAGAAGTGGGCCTTCTTGCCTGGGCGAGTGACAACTTTTCAAAAGGAGATTTCAGTCCATGATACAGGAAACTTGGCACTGCTACGAAAGAGTTTCTTACAGCCATGGACGCTACGTTCTTAAGCCAGCTGGGGCTTTGAAGGGCTGGATAGCTGAGCTATGGAAGCGTCTTGTTAAACATAGCCACCATGACTTCCTTCCATCCCTGTGCACTCACGGGGAGCTGCAGTCTCTCCTGCCCCACGATCCCACGCTGGCCGGGGGCTGCTTCGACCAACGGAATCTGTCAGAAGTTCTGCTGGGCAAGGTCTGCACCTCTCTCTTAGGAGGCCTGGCCTTGTCCACTGCTTTTCCCTCAGAGCTCACAGCTGTTGGGCACAGAAGTCCCGGCTACTTTGGTGACAAGAAAGGCCACTCCAGTGTCCCACCCATAAAGGAAGGTTTCCTGCACACCCAGTCCAGTGGAGCCTCCAGACCCCAGCTATTGTACCACAACCACGCCTGGCACACCAGAGCTGGGGAGAAGAGCTTACGTGGTTATTTTAAGTCATTACCTTTTGGGTGGTTTGTTATGTGGCAGAAGAGCCCCGGGGAACAGTGGTTAAGTATGTGGCTCCTAACCAAAAGGTTGGTGGTTGGAATCCCCACAGGGGAAAGATGTGGTAGTCTGCTTTCCGACCGATTATAGCCTTAGGACCCCTCAGAGGCAGTTCTACTCTGTGTTACAGGGTCACGATGACTTGGAATTGATTCGACAGCAATGAGTCTTTCTGCTTTCTTTCTCTTTTTCTCCCTCCCCCCCTTCTCCTTCCTTCCTTTTGGTTAGGCAGAAATAAAACACCAGAACATGAACTTGGCTTACCTCCGACGACCAAAACCCAGACATGGTACGCTCTGTAAAACAGAACCAGACTCAGGACGCGGGTCCCCAACATGCCCATCCTCCAGAGCTGCTGGCAGACGAGGGCAGCCCATGGCATGGAGAGGTGACCCGGCTTCATGAAGCCCATGAAACGCGCGTAGGACACCAGGGCCCAGGACAGCGAGGACCAAGAGAATACGGCACTCACTCCTGGAAGGGAAGGGCACAGACCGTAAGTCCCCCAGCACCCCACCCACAGTCATTCATCGCATTTCTTCTGAGGGACACCGACTTCGCGGGGACTGTCCCTAACCAAGCCTGTTCACCTGTGGGAACATAACAATCCTGCAGACAACTCCACGCGTGTCGACACGGAAAGAGAGGAAGACTACTGCCACACAAGGTAGTAGACGAGCTCCCCCAACAATCAGCCGGATGCTCTCTTTCTACACCCTTGAAAACCAAACACCAACTCACTGATCAGCTCCACCTCTGATTTCAGCTCTGTCTGTAACTAAGCAGCTCGGACAGTCTTCTGAGCCGGGGTGGCTGCCCAGACGTCCTTTCTAATTCAGTACATATGAAAGAGACTTAGTAAAGGAAATAAATACATAAACTGTATTTGGGCCTTTGATATGTGATGGATGGCGGTGCAGCAGTCATGTCGTTCATGCTTTTACCTTGTGCGATTCTCAGTGGGCCACAGTCCCCCAGGGGAGAAAAGAGAGCAGAAGCGATGCAGTGGCGGGTAGTGAGGAGAAGGAGGAGGGTGGGGAAGAGCGAGGGTGGGAGGGAGGTGGAAGAGTACATACAGAAGGGAGGAGAGAGGAAAGGAAGCAAGCAGCGACAGAACAAAGAGAAGACAAAGCTGAGCGGGGGCAGGAAACGTGTCCAGTTACAGGGACTGAGCGGTTGTCAGTTTCCACGTGGCTCGGGCTGAGGTCAGTCAGTGATAGCATTCCAAGGCATTTTCAAAGGCAAATGTGGCTACATAGACTTTCTGCCCTACGGACTGACTTCAGAACTCAAACTCCATAGAAGAAGCAACGTTTTGTGAACCAAACAGCCCAAATGAAAGCCCATTTTCAGCAGCACAGTAAGTTGCCAGGCGGCTGCTTGTTGCTCTCAGTGGCCATTGAGTCCGTTCCAGCTCATGGCGACCCCGTGTGGCAGAGAGTGGAACTGCTCCACAGAGTTTGCCGGGCTGCAGCTTTGGGGCAGCAGATCAGTCTTTGTTCTGAGACACCTCTGCTGGGTTCTGCTAGCTAAGAACCACCAACCTGCAGCTGTCAGTCAAACGCTTAACCATTTGCATCACCCCGATTCTTCCAAGCAGGGAGACTCTTAGATTGCAGGGGTTTGCTGAAAAAGGAACGCGCTTCTGTTCCCCTCGGCGAGTTGGTCCCTCTGGGCTCTATGGTGAAAGTTACTCACCTGCTACAATCTCTGTCAAGTCAGAAGCCAGAAACACATAGGTTTGAAGCAGCAGGTGGGGCCCGGTCTGAAGAAGGGCTTCCAAGAGCCGGAGGGCCGACAGGTCAGCCTCCTGCAGCAGCAGCTGGCCCAGGCGGGGGGCGTCCCAGTCCTTAGACACAGCAGCAAAGGCAGCGTCCCAGTGCCTACGGGAGAACAATGGGCTCCATGATCCGGAGCCAGACAGGGCCCGGCTCCAACAGGACACCCTCCTTTCCTGTCTTATCATTGAGACTAGGCATTCTTAAGGATAACCCATGAACACACTGGATTCCAGGAGCACTGAGGAATAACTTACAAACTTAACAAGACTCCAGTCACCAACAAGGCTGTCACTAAGCTCTGACTTCAAGCTAAAGACTCAGTACCAATGTCAGGTCAGGGTGTGGTCTACAGGGTGGGTACCCCTAAAAAACCAATGCTCACTTGAGTTTTTGATGTGAGGGGGATAGTGCATTTGCAGTTCGTTCCACTAGGTCAGACTGTTAATCTAGCTTTCTATTCAGAGGTTCTGAAAAGATTGTGTAACCATGTGAGACAAGAAAGGCCTGATTTGTGGCAGATGGGGGACTGGTTTTGCCACCACGACAATGCACCTGCTAACACAGCCATCTCAGTGTGCCAGTTTTGGGGCAAAAAACCACTATGCCTCTCATGCCCCACACACCTTACTCACCTGAACTTTTTGATTCCGAGAATGAAGAGGGACATGAAAGGACAGCGATTTGATGATGTAGAGGAGGTGAAGAAAAAAATGAGGGAGGTGCTGTCAGCCATCCAACAGATGAGTCTAAAAATGTTTCCAAGAATGGAATCGCACATTTGGCAAATGTATTAAGTGTAATGGAGAGTACTTTGAAGGTGGTAAGGTTATTTTGTAAAAAAAATTTAAAACATAGTTTTGGGGAAAAATCTGCTTTTTGGGGGTACCCTCCCATATAATCCTACGTAACAAAACAGTCGGTCAGCGGGCCCACACTATATCCAACCTCGTAATAAGGAACAAGTGTGTGTGTGTGTGTGTGTGTATGCATAGTAAAGGAACATCAGAAAGAAAGCTTGTGTAATCAAGCTTTGCAGATGCAGAAATGATTGGGGAAAGGAGATTGGGATTTGATGATTAATAAGGAGGAGATGGGGAGAAAAATAAAATATACACAGTCACTCTACCAAAAAGAATTAGTCAACATTCAACAATATCAGGAGGTACCCTGTTTCCCTGAAAGTAAGACATCCTCTGAAAATAAGACCTTACAGTTTTGCCACTTGCTAAAAAATAAGGCATCCCCCTGAAAATAAGACCCCCCCGAAGCTACCATAACTGTGGACTCTGGACCATAGTAGCAGGCGCCGCTGCACAGCTCACTGTTTGCCGCAGCGCAGCCGGACCAGGCAGGAAGTGCAAGGTCTCTTTTAATAAAACAATAAACAATAAATATGTACCGTATTCTTCCTCCTCGAAAAATAAGACATCCCCTGAAAATAAGACCTAGAGCGTCTTTTGGAGCAAAAATTAATATAAGACACTGTCTTATTTTCGGGGAAACAGGGTAGTATATGAGCAAGCGCCAGTGGTGCTGAAGGAAGACGTTCCAGCTGCACTGAAGGCATTAGCCAACAATAAGGCTGCAGGAATTGATGGATTACCAGCTGTCTACTCAGCAGGAACAAGGTAATTATAATACATGCCTGCTTAATGGTTGTCGTGCCTAGTAAATCCACCCGGGATTGTGAATTTTTTCCTAGTCTAAGTTAAAGGAAATTGGAAGACATTTATGTTGCTAACTACCGATTAAGAGATGGATACCGCTTGAAGGTCACTCAGTGAAGCTCTGTTTAAAGTCATCCCTAGAGACCCAGACTCTGCAAAGGACAAGCTGGAGTCTGATCTTTGGCCAACATTTCTATATCCAAAATAGAAGGGTGTGTTGATGCTTTATTCCTGGTGCTAAGGGCCTAGAGAGATTCTGAACAACTTCCTTGCTCCCGGTTTGGCATCCTGGAGGGAATGGGTTTCTTCTCGAGTCTCTGAAACCATGCTTTCGAACTGCAGCTTAATGTAAAAAGTGACTTATAAACAGTCTCATGCACTCTGAGTCTCGAAGAACTAGATGATGACGGGCTAGCTCCACGAACAAGTCTGACTGATCAGCCACTACAGCTGAACTCGAACAGAGTGGCAAGGAAAATATGGAACAGAACTTCACATTTCTAAAACAAAATAAAACAAATCCGAGTTACTGAACCATTTGAGATCAGAGGATTCCCCGAGATGACTGCCCTGACCTTGACCTGAAACCTTGACCTGAAACTAGCCCCTGAGGCCACCTTTTAGCTAAGTAATAGACGGGCTCAGAAAACAAACCCTAGTCCCCGTGGCTACTGAGTTCCTGTATTTAAAACCCAGCTATCTGAGGCTGAAAGGCCAGCAGCTGCTGTAGAACAAAGAGGAGAATGTAAGGGGGAGAAGCACCCAGATTCATAGGAAAAGACCAATCAGAATGGAAACTTTGAGAATGTGCACCCAAGTGAACAATGGGCCCACTGCTCAATCTGTGTAGAAATTGTTACTGCAGAATGGGCAAACCTTTACTGAAAACACACCAAAAAAAGTTATCAAAAACAGCAATGAATCTCTAAAGCCCCCCAAAATGTAAACCATCGGGAAGGTACAGTTTTCTTTTTGTTCTTTAATCAATTGTCCTCAAGAGGTGGCAGTTCCATCTCTGAGCCACCCAGAAGGCTTCCTCTGTTCAGTGTGCACTTTTAGTGGACTCTGATCACCTTCTAGATGCACTAATGGGCGCACACTTAGTAACAGCAGTGAAGGTGGCAGCAGGCTGGCAGTTGTACAGACAGGCTGACAACACACAGCAACAGAGATTACAGAAGGTGACAAGGGACACTAAAGATGCTCTTTCACTCACTCACTGCTACTGAGTCGAGGCCGACTCATAGCGACCCTATACGACAGGGCAGACGGCCCCTGTAGGTTTTGGAGACTGGAAGTCTTTATGGGATTAGAAAGCCTCCTCTTTCTCCCTGGGAGTGGCTGGTGGTTTCAAACTGTAGACGTTATGGCTAGCAGCCCAATGGGTAACCATTACGCCACCAGGGCTGCTCAAGACGCACTCTAGAAGCATGAAATCCAGCTGTGGAAAGAAACACATACATATGGATAGTTAAGTAGGAAGAACAAAGGTTTCGAGTGAGCTGCTTGGATGGGTGAGATAAAAGTCCTGGGCAGAGGGTCATGTCAGGGAAGGCTCCCTAGAAAGAGATGAGTAGGCCAGGGTTGGGTAGGTAGACAGGAGGAAGACAGCTAGGAGGAAGCAATCCACAAAGGAGTGTGAATGGGGTCTGTGGGATAAGGAACCAGCTCACTGAATGGCTGGGTGGAATGTAATAGGTGAGCGTTGGTAGGTAGACAGGAGGAAGACAGCTAGGAGGAAGCAATCCACAAAGGAGTGTGAATGGGGTCTGTGGGATAAGGAACCAGATCACTGAACGGCTGGGTGGAATGTAAGGCGGGGGAGTAATTGGACTTCCCTGGTAAGAAATGGATATCAGTGAGAAGATGACTAGTCCCACTCCAGTGCATGGGGCCTATTGCAGAAGGAAGCTACTGGGAAGTGACAGGGGAGCCCATGTGGACAGTGATGGGTGAGAAGAGGCAAGAATGGAAAGTACGAGGCACTTGACTGGTCTCTAACTCCTGCTCGATTCATCCCTAAATAATTTCAAGTCCTTGGCATCTGTTATCTGGATTCCTGGCTGGCTTCTCGGCCTCGTCTCTCCCTATTCCATTCCCTTTCCTATCTCTGTAATACTCTAAGGTCCAAATTTACCCATAGCAAAGTAAAGCACTCCTTCACTTAAGTCCTACTAATGAGTCTGTAGGCGCCCTGGTGGCAGTGATTACTTGCTGGGCTCCGAACCACAAGGTCAGCGGTTTGAAACAACCAGCCACTCCACAGGAGAAAGATAAGACTTTCTACTCCTGTGAAGATTTGCAGTCTCGGGAGCCCATGTCCTGTGGAGTTGGAACGGACTCAACGGTACTATTATGTATTTTTAAGAAGACTTCAGAGTTATTTTTTGGTTTGAAATTTAAAGATTATTTCAGAGCAATAAGTTCAGGAGTTTATCCTGAAAATCTGGAGTCTATGAGCATTCAACATTCTATTCTGCATGCTCCCCCTTTTGAGAAGGATTTTTCCACAGAATCTTTGAAAATGTTCAGCACCATCCACCTCTCCTGGTCTCAGGGCACAGAGGCGGCCATTCATGGAGGCAAAGAGCCACACGCTCCATCTCCTCCTCCCCTTCCCGATTCTCCTTAGTGCTGCTCCAGACAGAGAGAGCGATTGTCTTGCCTCGAATGGCCACTTTTAGAAGCAGACTGTCACAATTGTCTCTCATGGAGTGGCTGGTGGGTTTACACCACCGACCTTTCTGCTAGTACTTGGGCACTCTCACCACTTGGATTCCTTCGGTTGACTAGTCAGATGCAAATCAATACATTCATCAAGTCGGTGCTGACTCATAGCAACCCTATAGGACAGGGTAGAACTGGCCCTGTCGGTTCCCAAGACTGTGTCTCTTGAAGGGAGTAGAAAGCCCTGTATTTTTTTTAGAATATGACATATATGTTTATGTTTCAAATTCTTTAATTTTTTATAAGCTACTTTACCTCAAAAGGCTTGCATCTTATTGGTTTTGCTATCATTAGTAGAATCCTCTTAAATAGCAATTGAAGCGATTCCGTCTCCCACAAGTCAGGGCTGTGCAAAACACAATTGCTTGGCTCCACCTGCAGGTGCATTGGCTGCACTGCGATTCCCTCCGCTGCCGCCACTGCAGACGACACGGAAACAAAGCCTATGGCCGTCTAGTAGATTCCAACTTGGCACAACTGCACAGGACAAAGTCCATCTGCCCAGAGGGTCTCCCAGGCTGTCAATCTCCGCAGAAACGGACCACCACGCCAATCTCCCGCGGAGCGGCGGGTGCGTGTGAGCCGTAAGACTTTCTGTTCACAGTTAACGTTTAATCATTTAGCCACCAGGGCTCCTTATGAAAAGAGAATGATTTTTCAAAATTCACGGTGAACGTGCTATAAAAGCACGTAGTAAAAAGCCGTTCACTACATTACCCAGTGTGTGCTTGGCGAGAAGAGACCCTCTGTGCCGGCTGCAGGCGGAGGAACGGATTTGCGGCTTTCTGGCCCCGCTTTCAAAGCGGCCTTTCCCTCGGAGGGGGGCACTCGCTAACAGCATCAACACTGCACCTGCCTTACCTGTCTCCCCGCTTCCACCGGCTGTGAGAGAATTCAGGGCCACACCTGTGTTCTATCTCTATTCAACGGTCCATTCTACTTTTATCTTGGTGTCTAAGCATCTTGGTCCTTTCCTTGGCTTTTCTCACTTATTTCCCTTTTGAGTCCCTTTCAATGATACATATTTTGTTGTGGGGTTGTTGAGTGTTGTAAAGTCGGCTCGGGCTCCTTGCGACACAAAATGCGGCAGAACGAACCACTGCCCGTTCTGCGCCGTCCTCAATGGTTACGTTGGAGAAACAGACCCTGCGCCAACCCATCTCGTGGAGGGTCTTCCTCCTCTGCCCTGGCCTTGCACTCAACTAAGCACGACGTCACCCTACTTTCTTAAAAAAAAAAAAAAAAAGACATATAGATGACTAGCTATTGTCTCCAATTATAAAATGTCACAACCCTGTTGACTCATCAACCGTTTTCATTTTTAAAATGTCTACATCAAAGTAAAGAAGTCTTTGAAGAACGAGGAAGGTTGCTGCGTCTCCTGGACGTCCCTCCTCATGCCAGGAGCGAGACACTGGGCTTGATGGGGCCCAGCGCTCCCCACACAGCCTTAGAAGCTCCCCTCCCCCCCACCAATTTTATTATAAAGATCATTTTATTGCGGGTTCTTACAGCTCTTATAACACTTCATACATCAATTGTATCCAGCATATTTGTGCATATACTGCCATTGTTGTTTCCTAAATCTTTACATTCTATTTGAGCCCTTGGTATCAGCTCCTTTTTTTACCCTCCCTCCTCCCCTCTCCCCCTTGATATATTATTATTATTTTCATATCTTCCACCACTGTCTCCCTTCCCCTGCGGTTTCGTTCCCCACTCCTCTCCCCATCTTCCCCCTACCCTCCTGGTATCACTACTCCCATTTCTGTTCCTGAGGGGTTTATCTGACCTGGATTCTGTGTACCCCGAGCTCTTATCTGTACCTGTGTACATGCTCCGGCCTACCTGGCAGTGAAGCAGTGAAAGGCAGGATTGGGGTCAGGACAGTGGGGGGAGAGGAAGCCTCAGGGAACCAGAGGAATATTGTGTTTCATTGGTGCTATATTTCACCTTGGTTGACTCACCCCTTCCTCGTGACCCTTCTGTGATGGGATGTCACATTGGCTACAGATGGGCTTTGGAATTATGGTAAGGTGACCAGATTTTAGCATTGGTAAAGCGGGACACCATTGATAAAACTCATATCCTGGCGAAATAGCCACATGGCAGCCGAAAACCATATATACCCTAGCTTGTCGTGCATTCTTTCCAAAATTCGGGACTTTTTTAAAACGCCGCGGGACGTGGGAAAAATTGTTAAAAATTGGGACTGTCACGCCAAAAGCGGGACGTCTGGTCACCTTAATTTATGGGTTGGTCTAGAGCAGCGGTTCTCAACTTGTGGGTAGTGACCCCCTTAGGGGTCGAACGACCCTTTCACAGGGGTCACCCAATTCATAACAGTAGCAAAATTACAGTGATGGCGTAGCAATGAAAATAATTTTATGGTTGGGGGTCACAACATAAGGAACTGTATTAAAGGGTCGCGGCATTAGGAATGTTCAGAAGCACTGGGCTAGAGAATAGATATCTCTTGGCTCCCCACCCAGTATTACGAATCCTATGTTTTGGGGGAAGCACAAGGCCCACCTCTGGGCAAAGCCACAGTGGCTGAAAATGTGTTGGCGGTGACCTTAAAGATTTAGGGTTCCAACTCTGAGAGGCCAAATGACAATCAAGGGTGGCTGCTTGATTTCATCATCAGATGCATCTGCCACCTCCCACCGAGATTCTCCTCCAGGTGGGAAGGGAACGGCCCTCTCTGAGTCTGGTTCTGCATACAGGCCCTACCCCTCAAGCGCAGATGAGAAATCAGCAAACTCATTTCCGTTCCTATCAAACAAGGTCTTAGGACCGGCTTGAAGGCACAGACTGCTAAGAACAGACAGTAGCACAGCCCCAGGATTGGAAACCTGGCAATTCCTTCGTGCACAGCTTCCCGTCCTCCGTTTTAGTGAACACGGGGCCTAAGACCTCCCTGACTGCGTCTCTGGGGTTTCCTCCGTTGAGTCCGAGGAGCCCTTGGGGATTCGGAGGCAGCAGAGGGCTGACACTCAACATCCAGGTAAACCTACTGCCACATCCCTCCGGGCAGTCCTTGGATTCTGTTATCCCAAGTAAAAAGAATACCTGCGTGCAGTCTACGGACCACAGGTAAGTCAATAAGTCTACCAGGTAGTAGCCCTACCCCCTGCCTTCTTTCAGTGGAAAAAGCAGCCGGAACTGGCTCCTGAATGGCCGTTTCTCACAACAAAGGCCTGATACAAAGGTCACCAGGCCAACACCAGCGTGTAGTCTGGGGACACATCTTCTGAACTCCTTCCTTAACTATGGTAATCTATGGAGTCTAAAGAGAACTGCCTTAAATGAGTCACTCCACACGGCTCTAAAGGGTTGACCAGTGAACGCAAGCAGGAAGAATGCAGAATATGGCTGAAGACAAGAAGGTCACAGTTGCATTCACCACATGGGATGAAAAGGGCAGCATTTGTCCAGGGACGGAGCTCAGAAGGCAGGGAGGGGCAGGGAAGAAGGACAAATGGAACTGATCAACCCAAGGAGGAACTGGGCAGACCGTTGGTGTCATGTGCGGAGTGTCAGTTCATGTCCCGACTGAACACGTGTGTGAGTTGTTGAGGGCAAAGCCAATTTGTTCTGTGAGCATTCACCCAAAGCACAATCAAAAGCGAAAATAACCAAAATCAAGATCAAAGCTGTCCCTGGAAAAAACTCCATGATGTTAGGCTGGAAGGGAGCAGAGGCTGGAAGGGAGGATGCAAATGTCCGAGCAGAGGTTACAAGTGGTAACTGCTGACCTTGTCCCAACTCTGAACTTGCATCATTCTGAGGATAAACGTGTGCACAGGCACTTCTATTGCACCTACAAAGGCATGCTTCGCAATACAATCTTTGGGACTCAAAGGTGGAAAGGATGCTGCCTGTTCTTACCGTTTCCAAACACCAAGCTGTAGAAGGTGCAGAATCATCAAAGAGCAATGACCTTGATGTCCATCTGCTCGAAACCATAGATAACTCAGGCCCTGGACCAAGAAGCCAGGCAATAGGACAGAGGCGGCCAGCCACCCCCAAAGAAGCTGTCCAGTGATGAAGTAATAAACCACCGTGCAGAGGCCTGGGGACAAAAGAAGGCAGATGAGTTGGGTTATTGGAAGGAAAGGTGAGGCTGGCTAGCCAATATTAAATCTACAACCAGCAGGGCTTTCTGCTAAACACAGCACCTTAGATGGCCTCAGCCAACTGGAAATATACAGTCAACGTTAAATGCAAGCTCTTGGGCTGCCCCCCAGGACACTCAAAAGCTCAGGCATTATGGTCCATAAAAAGGGACTACTGGATAAGATAAACTAATAAATACCTAGCACCTACTCTATACTTAAAAAAAAGTTGTTAGGTTTACTCTTCTGGAGACTCTCCATCCTTTTATTTTTGATGATGTGGTGATGTTGTAAGACTCCCTAGTGGCACATTGGTTAATCACTGGGCTGTTAACCAATTATTGGGTGGTTTGAAGCAGGGAGAGATGTGGCAATTTGCTGGCATAAGGGTTAAACCCAAATCCACTGCTGTGAGTCAATTCCAACTCACAGCAGCCCAGGGTGTCTGAGGCTGCAACTCTTTATGGGAACAGACAGCCTCATCTTTCTTCTGCAGAGCAGCTGGGGGTTCGGACTGCTGTCCTTGAGGTAAGCAGTCCAATGTGTAACACACTACCCACCATGGCTCTGACCATAAACCTTTCCTTCTCCATAAAGCTAGCTGCCTTCGAAACAGAGTTTCAACCTCTGTCCTCTGAGGTTACTATGAATCAGAATCCACTCAGTGGCAGTGGGTTTTTGGTGGTGTTTGCTCTTGGCTCTGGTTCACTCTTGGCTCTGGTTCACGACAAACTTATGTATAACGGAACAAAACATCGCTAGATTCTTTTCCTGCTGCCTGGCATGTTGAATCCATTATCACAGCCATTAAGCACATCCAGTTCACTGGTTTTTCTTGGCCTGCTACCAAATCTGTCTTTTTCTAGCTATCTTTCCTAATGACCTGTCTATACTGGGCATTATTTTGTTGTGATATATATGGTTTTCACCGGCTAATTTTTGGAAGTCGATCAACAGGCATCTCTTCCTAGTCTGTCTTACTCTGCAAGCTCCCTTGAAACCTGTCCACCCTGGCTGACTTGGCCCTTACTTGAAATACCAATGGCATCACTGTCAATATCACAGCAACAAACAGGTCACCACAGTAAAACAAATGGACTGATGTGTGGTGGTTTGAGGATGGCAGGGCTGAGTATTGTAAGGAAAAGGGAAATTCAGGTAGGAGCTACACTTGCCAATCAATAACAATATTGAACGGTATTACACGCCAATACCTGCACTGTATGCTTTACATGTATTATAGCAGTTCTGTCTTTGAGGTGGATTTCAAATAGGGGAACTTACTGGCTACACAACTTTGGACCTTGGGAACAGAACGGTGGTACCACTTACTGCTGAAGATTGTTAGGAGTTTGACAACGGAGACTGGTATTTTGTATCTTGTCCAGTACTTCTAGGGACATGGAGACACAGCAATTGTTCTGTATTATTCTGGGCATGTCTCCCACATTAAGGTTTACAAAGGAATTTCTGGGCACAAATTTGCATTTGAGGAGACCATTACTCACAGGTACAAATAAAACCCTACATTTCTGAGTAGTCGAGCCCTTCCTTGGGCCCAAGGCTTCTTCTCTAGGCTTCAAAGACCTATGTGGCAAACGAGGGCTTCACTTAGACAAAAAATCCTTTGGGCTGGCTGGGGATTGCCAGAGACCTGGTAGTCTTCTGGCTGTAAGGGGAGGGTGTCTCAGGGGTGTTCCTGCACCTGCACTGGGTGCTGAGCCTCTGGGAGCCTTGTATTTCTGGGCTCTTCCCCACCCAGTGCTGAGCCCACGGCCTGCTTTAGAACGAATTTAGTACCAGCTCCTTCTGGGCCAGGGATTTGGCCAAGCACTGCCTTTCTTTTCCTTGAAAAAGGGCGCGGGAGAACAGGGAGGGGGAGGGGGCGGGGCGCAGAAAACAGGGAACCAGAGTTCATCCCTAGGGAGCAGCTCGATTTATTCCCCAGCACAGGACTAGATTGCAGGCAACCTGGCAGAAGTGGGCATAGACCTTCACCTCATTCACTGAGTTAAGAGTTGTAACCAGAAGGGCACTAAAAAGTGTTGCCATCTTGCTCCGCTTCGGCTTTCAAGGGCAGGTCCCCGGGTGACGGAGCTGCCTCCCGGCGGGTTCTTCCTGCCCTGTTTTAAACTCCGCGCCAGGCCACCTCCTCCAGTGCGGAGGCAGATGAATAACAGCCCCCCCCCCCGACACACACACCCCCCTTCTCAAGCAGGAGGTCGGGAACGACAACCGCGGCCCTTGCACTGTTTAGTCCGCCAGCCAGCGGAAGGGCCAGGAGAGCCAGGGGGCACCCCGACCCGAGTTCAGCAATATTTACCCCCACAGCCCTCTGCTGAGCTCGGGAGAGCTTTCCAGAAGGCAGAGCTAGATAAACGTTCTCCAATCTTGGGGGGCGGGGGTTTGGCACTGCCTGGGATCAAACATTTGTGGGGATCCACCAACGCTTGGCGGGCGTTGCTTGGCGAGCGGGTCAGGGTGCTGTCGCCCAGCACAGGCATGCTGGGGCGCCAGAGGGTGGGGTGTTAGTGTCGGAGAGGCGAGCAGGGGCTGGCGCCCCACGCCTCCAGCTGTGCTCGGACTCACGCGCGCTCTGCTCGGCCGCCAGCAGCAAGGCGGAGAAGCCCAGGAATCCCGCGTGCATCCTCCGCGCCCGCAGCGCCGCCCGCGCCCGCGCCAGCGCTCGGCGCCTCGGCCCCGCCCACCGCCACTCGCCACGCCCCTGCCCCGCCCTCGCCCCGCCTCGCGGGCGGGAGGTTTCGGCGGGAGACCGCACCGCGGGACTTGTCTCAGCCTATCCGGCCGGCGCGCTTTTCCTTGGTTCTGATTTTTGCCAAATTGATCCAAAGGGAGGGGGGGCTGACTGGGCACTTAATATGGGTGAATGCTGGTTTTTGCCTTGCTCGGAGTCCCCGGAAAGTATTTCTTGATGGTTAAAGAATTGTTTTGTTAGTCATCTGGTGTGCCTGTTTCTGAATATGGGGTCGGATAACAGTAGTTCATTGACTTTTTCAAAAGCTAACCGTTCTGTGGCCAGGAAAGTAAAGGGAATGTGCGCTGCAGGTCACACACAATCCATCACCATCTCCGACCTCAGAAACCCTTCTTAAGACAAGGTCTCAGTGTAAACATTTTCTCTAGGCTTTTAAAAAGTTTTGTTTCTTTGTTTTTACTGATCATTTTCTTGGGGGCTCCTACACATTGTATAACACTCCATAAATCCATTACGTATATCAAAAGAACTTGTACAGATGCTGCCATCATCATTTTAAAAAGATTTTCTTTCTGCATGAGCCCTTGATATCAGCTCCCCTTTGTTCCCCCGGCCCCACCCTACCACCCTTGTGAACATTTAATATGTTATATATATGTATTTTCATATCTTACGCCGTCCAATGTTTCACCCACAGTTCTGTTATTTAGCCCCCTCGAGGTGCGTTATGCATCCATCATTGCTATCAATTCCCCCTCTCCTCCTTGCCCTCCCCCTTCCTGTTTCCTCATGGAATGGTTACTTTCATTACTGTGCTAAGGGGTTTATCTCTCCTGGATTTCGTGTGTCGAAAGCTCTTATCTGCACCAATGTACATATGCTGGTCTATCAGGATTTCGGAGCTCAAACTGGGGCCATGATAGTGAGGGGAGGAAGCATTAAAGAACTAGACACAGTGGTTTTCAACCTTCCTATTGCCGTAACCCTTTAATACAGTTCTTCATGTTGTGGTGACCCCCCAACCATAAAATTATTTTCATTGCTACTTCATCATTGTAATTTTTCTTCTGTTATGAATTGGGTGACCCCTGTGAAAGGGTTGTTTGACCCCCAAAGGGGTTGCGACCCACAGGTTGAGAGCCACTGAGCTAGAAGAATGCTGTGTGTTTCCTTGGTGCTACAATGTACCCTGGATGAGCCGTCCCTTCCTTGAGGGAATGTCCATTTATCAACAGATGGGCTTTGGCTCTCCACTCTGACCTCTCTCCTTCACAACAATATGATTATTTGTTTCTCATCTTCTGATACCTGATCCCATCATACCTCATGACCACACAAATGATACTTAAACATGGGGATGATGAAAGGTTTTAGGGCTTTGGGAGCCCTGGTAGCATAGTGGTTGCTGTTTCACTGCTCACCATAAGGTCAGCAGTTTGAAACCACCAGGGGCTCAGCGGGAGAAAGATGAGGATAGTCTTACAGTCTTGGAAACCCACAGGGGCAGTTCTACCCGGTCCTTTAGGCTAGCCATGAATTGGCATGGACAATACGACAGTTTGGTTTGGGCTTGGTGGCAATAAATTAAGTGCTCAACTGCTAACTGAGTCTTCGGAAGCCAACCTGAGGTAGCTCTCAGGACAGACCTAATCATTTGCTCCTGAAAGGTGATGGCCTTGCACATCCTGAGGCAGGTCTACCCTGCACAATGCTGGAGACCAGTTGTCTGAGGGGACTCAAAGCAATTTACAGCAACAATCCAGTGACAAGTGAATCTGTGCAAGTCTTACTTTCAGTTTGATATTTATTAAAGTAAAACAACAACAATTACTGCACAGTCAACGTATTTGATTCTTCCCTAAACTTTTAATGTGATTCCTATACATGCTTTCATTGATAATAAAGTGTTCCCTCTCCACAATTTTCCATTTGCTTTTCAAGGCATGCCTATGGGTTCTAATCTCCTAGATTCACCACTGCTTATAGGAACGCTAACATATTTTTCTCACGACCATTTATAAGTCTTTCAATTATTTCCCTCTGAACAAATACAAGGGTAAAAAGATGCAGTTCTGAGATCTGGGTTCTGTTTTTTTATGTTCAATTCCCCCAGAATTCCCACTCCATTCTACTTACTACAGCCTCTCTTTGAATTGACTTTAATCCCCAGATCCGTCTTTTCCTTGTTGCACTGGCAAAGGAAGTCACAATTTATGTGCAGTGAAACCAACACTGTGTGTACTAGAAAAGAATATAAAACTGAAAGCATCTCTATCTATCTATCTCTATCGATCTATATCTATCTGTCTATCTATCTATCTATCTATCTATCTATCTATCTATCTATCTATCTATCTATCTATTAGAATTCACTATAAAGGATGCTCATAAAAAAAAAAAAAAAAGGATGCTCATAGTTGTGAAGAGTTCATCGTGGAATGCTTCCTCACTATTTACTTTTGGTCATCCCACTACCCCACCTGGCCCTGTTTGTTATTTGAAGGGTAGGTCTGTATCCAATATCCCATAAGTTAGCAGGGGAAATTCAATTATTTGAAAAGTGCAGCAGAGGATTGTTGTTGTGGGCCCTTAGCAAGTTAAATAAAAACATATGCTTTCTGCCTTGACCTTATGGGAGAGGCTTTGAAAAGAAGGAGAAAAATACCACGAGGAAGAAAGGGATTACTGTTCCCAAAGCATAGCCTCAGCTCAGACAGCAGTGGTTCCTATCTACAATCATAACCACGGGGGTTAATAAATAGACCAGGAGCACAGAAAGTAGTGGTGAGGCATCGTTTAGAAATCCCTAAAGCTAAAGAATGTGAATTGATAGGGTGTAAGCACCAGACCCTGCATCCAACCCTGATGATTGTTCGTTGACGTGATTTTAAGCACCCACCACATATTTCCTTTCTCATTGCCAGCCACTAGTATAAGTGCTTGTATTGACCCTGAGCAAGTGGAGCTGATTATCAGGGCACTCTTCCCATGGAAATCTCACATCTCCCCCTCCCCCCAACTCACTGTTAATTCTGATTTATAGTGATACTATAGGGCAGGGTAGAACTGTCCCTGTGAGTTTTGGACTGTAACTCTTTATGAGAGTAGAAAGCCTCATCTTTATCCCCAGGGGCGGCTGGTGTTTTTGAACTGCTGGCCTTGAAGTTAGCAGATGAATATTTAACCACTATACCATCAGAGCTCCTTTCTCAAGGGAAAGCTGCTTGCAAAAGGTCAAGATGACCTTGCTTCGTAAGGCTGGACAATAGTTCATCTGTCTGCGTGTGATTTTGTTCAGCCTTCCTCCCCTAGTATATGAGAGAGTACCCCCGCAAAACAGGATTTTTTTCAAAGCTATGTATTTAATTTTTTTAAAAAAACAAAGCAATCTTGTCGCTTTCAAAGTTCTCTCCATTACACTCAATACATTTGTCAAATCTTGAATTCCATTCTTGGAAACATTTTTCAAACTCATCTGTTTGGATGACTGACAGCACCTCCCTCGTTTTTCTTCCCCTCTTCTCTGTCATCCAATCGCTGTCCTTTCATGCAACCAAAAAGAAGGTGCATGGAGAGAGCAAGGTCCGGTGAGTTACGTGCGTGGGGCAAGATAGTCATGATGGGGTTGTGATTTTTTTTTTTGCTAAATCAGGAGCACTGAGATGGCTGTGTGAGCAGGTGCATTGCCGTGGTGGCAAAACCAATCCCTGTGAGGGGAGACATCGGACAGTGTAGGATATGACAAAATAATAATTCATAAATTATCAAGGGTTTATGAGGGAGGAGGGAGCGGGGAGGGAGGGGGAGAAATGAGGAGCTGATATCAAGGGCTCAAGTAGAAAGAAAACGTTTTGAGAATGATGATGGCAACAGATGTACAAATGTGCTTGACACAATGGATGTATGCCTGGATTGTAATAAGAATTATATGAGCCCCCAATAAAATAATTAAAAAATTAAGGTAAAATGGTTAAAATACTAAACAACCAAGCAAACAAAGAAAATCCCGTCTGCCACAAATCAGGCCTTTTGTGTTACATGCTGTTATGCAAAATTTTCAGAACCTCTGTGTCTGACCTGGGTGGAATGAACTCCAAATGCGCTATCCTCCTCACATCAAAGAAACAAATGAGCATCATTTTGATTTTTTATTTCACTTGGCGAGCTTTTTTTTGGGTGAGGTGACAAAGGCATTTTCCACTGGATTGATTGATGTTTGCTTTCAGGGTCCTAAGAATAGCACCCTGTCTTGTCACCAGTAATGACCTTGGGGAAAAAGTCTGGGTCACTTCAGAGTTGTTCTTTCAAAGCATTGCATGTTTCCACTTATTCCTGGTCACTTAGAACTTTAGACACAGATTTCTCAGGGGCTCTTCTCATTCATAAATCTTCCATTAAAATTTACTGAACCGTGTTCCAAAACAGTGCAGATTGCCAGGAGAAGCCAGCCCCAGCACATCATTACGGGTCTGGTAGGTGCAATTGTACAGCGATAATGAGGAAAGATTATAGTAAAGTTATAGAGAACATGAGAGATAGAAGAGAAATATAGGAATAAATGGAGTCAGACACAATTCATGGTAGCACGCTCCCCTCAGCCCTGCTTGGTGGTCCATGTAGAGAGGCAGAGAATTTTTAAATGCTAACCAAAGTTTTTATATTCTCTGGGGACATGCAAGCCCCCTAATTACAGGTGAAGACATACGTCACAGGAAGGGGTTGTGCTATAGGTAATGCAATAATGGGAGGGGGTGATCTAGGGACATACATGCAAAAGGAAGAGGAGGGATTGGGGGTATACATGTGACAAGATGGGTGGATCCTAGATTTAGGATGGCAGCTTAACTTTGACCTGTTTTTTCTGGATCTCCATATGAACCATTATCAGTAGGGTGTGAACTCCACTTACAGGAACCAAGTTAATGGTTGCA